GCCCTCATGGACCTCCGATGATCACACGCCGACATGTGTGGCCCCATCAGCAGTGGTCCGTCTATCCCATGTACTTACGGTCTTTTTGGCCGATGTGACACCGGTAGTATATAGAAATGTTATGATTAAATGTCGTTATTACACAGTCAAAAGTCACAGAAAGAATATCCAAGCTCAAAAATGGCCTCAAACCCAACAAAAACTGGTATAAATCCCCTTCAAAAGCCGTAAGTCTATTAAACGCCATAGGGGAATAGCTACAGTCCCCCGCAATTTCGTCACGAGCATCGGGCCAATCAGCGTCGAGTATTGCCGAACGCCGATTGGTCGATTTCCGCTAGCCTGTAAATGCTGCTTGCGGATATAGTTTTGAACAAGTGAGGGTCGCGGCTACTAATTATCGCTTGTCACCACTTTTTCGTCGGGAACGTTCTACCTGGTTTATATAGCCTTGGTAGAGCGCTAGTGTTATACGCTCTGCTAGCGCCACCATGCGGCGCCAGTTGGCTAAAAATCTGTTCAATATCACGGCTTCTGGAGAATGCCTTAGATTCATTTCATACAGATAGAAATAATTTCAAAGCTGATTGAGTTATGAAATGCATTTAAATATCAAACCAAGGCCATGGGTATCAGACATGAACTGCGATTTCCGGTGGGCACAGTGACTTTGGTAATTGGTATGTCAATGTCTTTGAAAAGGCAGGTAAGATTTGCAACTGGTCAGCCTTGCTTCAATTGGATTTGTGTCCATTATAAATGGATTTCAGTCATACTTACCTCATATGTTATTGGTATTTGATTTCTACAGCCCAAAATATTGTTGGGTGTGTACAGCAAACTGAATGGAAGTGATGTGTACAAACATTTGAAGTATTTTCTGGACTGCTTGCAGTTAGAACTTGTTTGCTTTGTTGTAGGTGACAAGATAAGAAATTGAAGCAAGACTGACCAGTGACCAGTATGCTACAGAATAGGTAGCCCAATCTGCAGGAATATTAGAATTCAAAAGTGGAATTGTGACTTAGGAACTGGAAACTGCATCAACCATGTTTGCCAAAGTAGGTACCTATGTACCTAGTCCTACTAGGTAGCTGCTTGAATCTTTGGTCAAGGCTACTATGCTGCTTAATACAATTGTGGTATGCGGCATATTCATTTTATCATAGCTTTGAGTCAAATAATCAACAAATGCCTATAGTGAGTCATGGGTTGAATGAAATAAGTTCAATAAAAATGTTGTGTGAGTCATGAGTTGATTTGAATAGATTCATCAAAATGTGTGAGTCATGAGTTGATTCGAATCATTCCGTTGGCTAGTTGCTCGAGTCATGAGTTGATTCGAATCATTTTATCGAGGAACTTGATGAGTCATGAGTTGATTCGAATCAATTAAATTTAACATCATGAGTCGTTTGATGAATCGATTCAAATTTCCAGACTCAAACAAAGAATCGACTCAAAAAAAATTTGAGTCATTTACAAGTCTGCCCTGGGCACACCCTAGGGATGAATCTAAAACTCCGCGGGCTCTGGCTGGTTTCATAGGCAAAATAATGTTTTGAGACCGATACTTATTTATTCTGCGTTCTTTTCTGATCATATTATATCAATTTCACAACAAATTATTAACGTTATTAGTTTTTAGATGTCTTTAAAACTCGAGGCGTCGGGTCGGGCAGGGGTTCAAGATGACTGACACGCCACCCTGGCACACCCTGGGGATGAATATGAAACTCTGTGGCCTCTGGCAGGTTTCATACGCGAAATGAGATTATAAGACCGGTAATGATGTATTTTACGTTAATTTCTCATGCTTTTGCAATAATCTTACCGCCAATTATTCATTTCAATTAGTTTCTAGAGGTTTTTAAACACGAAGCGTTCGGCCGAGGGAAAGCCAAGATGAGTGAAAGGATACCTTGGCACACCTCTAGGGATAAATTTAAGATACGGTATTCCCAGATCTGCCCAATACATGTTCTGAAGCTGGTAGATTGGATTAAGAAAGCCCTAGCTTTTTAATAAATTATCCCTCGCCCGTAGGGGGGGGGGGGTCGAACGAACCACTCCCTCGTTTTTTTTCGAGAATAACTCGCGAAAAAAAGGCCGATCGCGACGAAACTTTCAGGACCCTCGAGTCAATTAATTGGACACCTACTCTGAAAATCTCATATTCCTGACCCAAATGACCTTTGACCTGTGACCTATTTCTTGAGGCCATGTTTGGCCGGAATCGCGATTCGGCGTATGTCGGCTCGCATTATGTCCTGATGTCCTGATCAGTGATGCCCTCCGTTCCGTTGCAGTTGCTCTGATCAGTGATCACTGATGCCCTCCGTTCTGTTGCGGGTGCTCTGATCACTGATCACTGATCAGTGACGCTCTCTCACTCAGCACTTACCACGTGACATGATACGTAGCTACCGCTCCGTTTCGGTGGCCGGCCATGAGGTCGGTGGCATCCTTTTATCATTTTTTTTTGCGTCCCGTTCCGTTCCGATACGGATGCCCTGGTTAGTTGCACACTTTTTATTGCGATGTTGCGCATTATGCTGCGCAGTGCACATCGTTCCGTTTGGGGTGCCCTAATCAGTGACCCTTTTTCTAGTCTCATGTAGTGCACCGTTCCTTTCGAAGAGTTGCGCTGACACCGTTTCCATTTTCACTATGCGTAATGAGTACCGACTATCGCTGGCCGTTCCGGCGTTCGGGCCGGGAGATTTCCGGCGTATGTCATGCTGCATAGTGCGACTGCAATTGCATACTCAATACTGCGTCCCGTTCCGTGTGCTCAGAGCGAAGGCACCATTTCCAGTATTATCCAGCCATTGTCATATCTGTTGAAAATGGAAAGCTCAAAGCTATATTTGTACACTGTACGAATGTTACCAGGTCAGATGCGAACGAAAACTACGTACTTATATTGCCGCATATTATCTCAAATATACAGTAATCTTGGAAGCAGTGCTGCCATATTGTAGGCGCAAAACGTCCCAGAGGCCAGAACACATGAGTTATACGGTTTCTGGTTTCATAGCGATCAGTTACGTCAACAAACTGCCCATCAGGGTATCATGATTACCTAAGATTTTATGTCTGACAGTGTCACAGTGATGACCACGCCTCACGCATTACACAGTCTGAGTCAACTGCACTAAATCAATAATACAGGACGACCGAATGATACCCTTTGCAACGGCAACGACAGGTTCCTTGCCACTTCCTTTGCTTAAAAATGAAAGAAAACTTATCCACATGGCAAATTACACTACACCAGACCAGATACCTTGACCAGTGACTAGAACCAAAGCCTGCATATAGGGAGAGCTCCCTCCCCCGCCCCTCCCCCACCCTCCTTAAGATATGATAACAGATTTCAACAGAATCATTGCATCTTCTGCTTCTTAAAGACCTAGTTCGCTCGCATGATGGCGACTGGCGTCGCGAGGATGGAGGTCCGCGGATGATCTTTAGGAGAAATATACAGGCAGAAGGACCGTCCTGGATCCGTGCCAGTAAGCATGAGTAGGAACTTAGCAGATGCTGACGGTAATATCTGCTGTCTGCATCTGAAACGGAAAGGAAGGCATTGATTTAAGGCTAGGAGAAGGATGGCCACTGGACTGTCATTCAATTGTGACAATGCATTTTGACTTGTGAGGAAAATGAAATCTCACTGGTTGAAGTAGGTATTCATTCTTTGCTGTATAAGAGACAAGGGTGATTCTTAAATTCATTAGTCTCAATCAAACACAAATGTTGGGATAAAATGGGACGGATTTAGAAACACTTGGCGATCAGATGTTAAAGTTATAATTCTGCCGTAGATCATCCTTACCTATTTGCATCGTCTTTTTCGGTTAGTTTTGGTGGTCAGGAATGGTATGTTCTTTTATTATCAGCCAGCGTAGCGTTACGCCTTTATTGCGAAAGTGATATAGGTTTTCACTTGTTTTTTTCTCATCCTAGATTTTTTGGTCATCATCGTCACACCCAACCAAAATCCAATTTTAGAACACTGGAACCGGGTGTCGTGCACAAGTCAGCTGGAGGTATCCCCTCGAATTTTCGCACGTGCAAGGCCCACCCTCTCGCTCGCTCCGTTAGTCGCCCCAAAAGGCGTTATACTGGTTACGGAGCGAGCGAAGCGAGCGGAGTCTTTCCTTAGATTAACGGAAATTTCTGAGTATGAGCGGCCGGCCGGCCGGCCGTGGTCACGATTTTGAGACGCTTGTATCTCAGCAACCACTTGACCGATTTACACGCGGTAATTTTTGTAGGGTAGCTTCATTCCTTCTACCAAGTATTGTACTATTCCCGATGCATGTGGGTGACCCCTTATGCACGTGCCACGTGCAAAACGAAGAGGTGTCACTTTTGTAATTGTTGCAATATCTCGGTAACTACTTGGCCGATTGCGCTGAAAGTTGGCATGTAGGTAGGCACCCACTAGGCAATGCATATCCATGTGCCAGAGTTGGGGTGCTGCTGCACGTGCGCACGTGCAGGGGTCGATTCCAGATCTCGAGAACGGCGCGACCGATTGCGCTCAAATTTGGTACACAGTTAGGGACCGGTTAGTAGGGTGCCGTGCACAAGTCAGTTGGGACCCATTTTGCACGTGCGCACGTGCAGGGTGCCGCTTCCAGATCTCGAGAACGGCTGGGCCAATTGTGCCCAAATTTGGCACGTCGCTAGAGACCGGTTAGTAGGGTGCCGTGCACAAGTCAGTTGGAGGTACCCCCTCGCAATTTCGCACGTGCAAGGCCCACCCTCTCGCTCGCTCCGTTAGTTGCCCCAAAAGGCGTTATACTGGTGGTAAAATTGACGGGTCATTCTTTGTTCTGTGTGTGAGTTTAGAGACGGAACCTTGCTCATTGTGAGTAGCCATGTGAAAATTCACGTGTGAAATATGTGATCCACCAGCTCCGCCGCCGTTAGTTTGCGCTCCGTCCAACAGGTGTCAGCACTGACAAGTTGCCCTTTTCTGTCAACAGATGGCGTCCGGCCAGGCGCAGGACGCGGCAGAGAGCCAGCCGCTGCTGGGCGCCGCAATCACCAGCGACATGGACCTGACGGACATGTCCTTCAACGACTTCTTCAGCTTCACAGACGATGTAAGTACGCGGCCGTCCTCCGTGTGTTGGTGCTCAGCCGGCCAAAATAACCATCGAAGACTTTCCACTTGTACTGAACTTTCCACTGTGTTTAATGCGAGACACATTTATTAGATCGTATTCCATTGTGCGGATGCAGGACAGTGTGCCAGGTCTAACTAATAGCGCAGTTCCCTTGCAGCCCCCCCTGCAAACGATACCAGCAATCAGCCGGCAGCGTCGGCTATCTGCAATGTTACGTCACAGCCATAATGGCGTGATATCTGGGCGTTCCCGGGACTGTTTGCATAGATACTATCTCAGCGGCACCGTGCCATGGCTCTGATGGGCCACCAGTTTAACCTAGTGCCCCCTAGCTCACCGCTGACCCGTCCGCTCCCCGCGGTCGTTGAGGGCTAACCCTGTACTCCCCATAGGTGGGCGAGACCCTGGACCGCGAGATGCACCACTCTCTGTTCGGAGACAGCGGCCTGGGCATGGACCTGGGCTCGCTGATGACGGGTCCGCCGGCGGACGACCCGCTGCTACCCGACATTGCCGCCCAGCTGTTTGACGAGGTGGCCTCCGCCACCACCGCCCCCGCCCAGACTCCGGCGCCGCCGCCGTCGCCGATGCCGGAAGGCGGTGAGTGGGTTTTCTGTGGTGGAATGGGAAAGAATAGGTGGATAGATGGATAGAGATAGATGGGTGTTTGTTTTTTGTTTGTGTTTGTCTGTGTTTGTGTGGGCTGGCAATGGCTCGAGTACTGGAGTCACGTGGCGGAGATGCAGCAAACTGTGCCTCGGACTTGTGACATTGTTTCTACTTTCTACTTACTTTCTACTTAGTTGCAGCTCATAGTTTCTTTTTGTTATCTCAGCGTTCACTGGGTAAATATTGAATATGTCTTTCCTTTCGACTGATATAAATATCTTCAGCGCTTATTAACATTTTGCACCATTTCAATTTCATCTTTCTTTTCCATCCTAGCACCATTCTAACATTTTAACATCTCTAATATCATTCTCTCAAACTTCGACTGACACGGGCACTAATCAACTTATCGGCCGCAGGTTTTCTGGGGTCGTGGACACGCATGCCTCTTATTTCTTATGTTTCGTCGAAGAGGATTGTCTGTCGCGGAGTCTCAACGTTTAGGGATGCCAACTGTCCGCCGGATTATGTTATCTTTACTTCTTGGAGGTATGCCACCTTACAAGTCACTCGTCACACAGTTTCTGCATCTCTGTCGGTTAGAATAGCTCCAGCGTTTGTCTGAGGTTGCCCAGTCCCGTTATACATAGACACACAGACTGTGATTGTAGAGACTTTGGTCCGAGACTAGACTAGACTAATCCCGCCTGAGACATGTGTGCGTGGGTGCGTGCGTGCGTGTACCCTTCCCCGTCCCCGTCTGTCCGCTGTGCTTGCTCGGTGGCCTGGAGTGGAGAACGCGCCCGCTCGATAGCTGACTAACCCCGCTCGTCGGCGCGCGGCTCGCGCTGCCTGTGTGTCGTTACAGGCATCACTGCTCAGTCGCGTGAGGACCTGTTGGCGTTTTTTGAAGAGCAGCTGGAGCCAGCTGGTGAGAGTCACAGCTGCCCGGTCAGCCCTGCTCCGGTGGTGGTGAAACAGGAGCCGCAGCTGCCGCCGCCGCCCCCGCCTCCGCCACGGACCATGCAGACGGTGCGCGCTGGCCAGTCGCTGCTGAAGCCGAGTGTGACGGCGGGGCTGCGGCTGAAGGCTCAGGAGGGCCGCCGCGTGCTGGCGTCGGCTCCCGTCAGCCGCCGCGTCACGCCGTCCGGCTCCCGGCCGGCCACTCCGTCTGCGGCCGCTGAGGCTCCACAGGCCGCCGGACGCGACGGAGGATCACTGCGAGCCCTGATCGTGTCACTGAAGAAACGTGCCACGGAGGAGACGGACCCGAAACTGAAACGACTGCTGCTGAATGAGGCCCGCCAGGCCCGCAGCCGGCTGAAGACCACTGCCCGACGTGCCAAGAAAATCAGCGAACAGTACACTGGGGGACCGACGCCTACCGCCACACCGCCGCCGGCAACGGCCGCTTCACCGTCTGCCGAGCCTCCGCCCCCGCCGCCCCCGCCACCTCTGGTGCCCGAGGAAGCCCCGCAGACTCCAGAACTCCCCGCAACGGCATCGGTCTCCTCCACCGAGTGTGGCTCGTCGTCTATCAGCGTGGGCAGCGCCGGCAGCACCTGCAGCGAGACTGAGAGCATCGGCTCCACGGAGGCAGTGTCTCAGCTACGCAGTAAGTACGGGGACTCCGGCCGTCAAGGGTGCCTCCGCCGCCGCCGCGCCGTCCCTTCACCGCTCACGGGGCGCCCGTTCTGTTTCAGCGCAATGCGAGCTGCTGGTCAAACACGTGCGCCGCACGTCGCAGTCGGGCGCCGGCGACGGCCCGCTGCCGCCCATTCAGGAGGTGCGTGAGACCCGTCCGTCCGAAATAGTTTCTAGGACGCTTGGAGCTAGGAGAGGAGCTGAGGGGAGGGAAAGAGCTAGGAGGAGCTGAGGTCTAGAAACTGGAACTGTTAGTTGAAGAATAGTGAATGAAAAATGGTTCGGTGCGCTAGGTGTAACTTTTATAGAAAACCTCGCCAATGTGTGTGCTAAAATTTTCGTGCGCTGTGTGTCTTGCCGACTGCAGCACTGGTGCGAGGGCTGAGGACAGACACTGACCGAGGCTGTGTTTCAGGCGTCGGCTGACTCGTCGGACCGCTCAGTGACATCGGAACCACCGTCTCAGGTAGGACATGTTATCAGTTGTGCTGAGCACAGCCGCACTTGTGTGTGATAAATTGTGAACGTTCCATAACCTTTGGAAATTGATGTGTGGTTACCTGACACATGAATGCAATTTCGATAGTCTTATAATGATTTCATGAATGCTGAAATAACTCATGACAGGTTAATGTTTTCTTTTGACTTCTTTATCAATTGAATGTTCTACATTTCACCTTTTCATTTTTGCACTACAAAACACCTAAGCTGCTCCATTTGTGTTTGCAGACGAGCTCTCCGTTGCGTCAGGCGCTGTGGGACCACAGCTACTGCTCGCGGGGCAGCTCAGGCGCCTCCTCCCCTGTACCGGGCGGTGAGGGCGACACGCTGCGCAAGGTGCCCGACTACCTGGACCGGCCGGTGGCCCCGCGCTCTCCGCTGCTCGAGAAGGTGCCGCCGTACGTGCGTGGCGTGCCGTCCGGAGACGGAAGACAACCCTCCAGGAAGAAACTGAGCCTGACCGAGTACCGTCAGCGCAGGAGCGCCCTGAGCAGCCGCTGTGCCTCTCCGGCCGCCAGGTCCCCGCCGCAGTCGGCGGTCGTCCCTGCGGTTGAGGTGCCCGTGTCAACTCCAATGTCAACTCCAACTCCAGTGCCGAAACCGGTGCCGGCCCCTGTAGTGGCTCCCGTACCGGTGCCTGCGTCTATGCCAATGTTGACGTTTGAGCCGGCTCCGGCGCCTGTCCCCGCGCCTGTCCCGGCCCCTGTTGTGGCACCAGTGTCCACCCCAGTGCGGGCACCACTGCCAGTGCCACCACCAGCCCGTCCCGTCAAGCAAGAGACAATCGAACGCCGTCCACCTCCACCCAGCGAGCTGCCCACGCGGCCACCGCCGCCACCGCCTACACTTCCCCCTCCGCCGCCGGCTGCGGTACCACCGCCGCCGCCGGCTGCCGTACCACCGCCGCCGCCGCGGGCTGCGGTACCACCGCCGCCGCCGGCTGCCGTACCGCCGCCGCCGCCGCCTCCGCAGCAGCACGAGGTGGCGAGAACACGCCACAGCAGTCCACCGCGCGGCTACCGCCTGGATACCCCAGCCGAGTCGCCGCGACGCAGCCGGGATAGGGACAGGTGGGTGTCCGATGGGGAGGAGAGGACGACGGTGGGCAGGGAAGAACCGGGAAATCATTATCTCCGGCAGCGGTTGTGTGACTTTTATGTTAGGTAGCTGATGATTCGTCGCTCTGTTTACCGAGGCTCTGCCTGGTATGTTTCCCTCGAATAGTGCAAAAAGTGCGATATATGATCTTTATATTTCATTGGTTGTGTTTCTCGGCATAATTAATGTATAAGGTATAGAGGTGAATGCTGTCCGAGTTCCTGGCAAGCCTTGATATGTGTTGTTATTCAAATACGGAGCATTCAGAATGACATCCTTACAGCTGTTCTCCCGCCAACCTTTAGAAGGTGTCAATTTGCCTTGTCCCGTGACTGACGCATCTCCCCAACCCACAGGTCGAGTTCGCGGCGGCGCCACACGAGCGGCTCGGACCGCAGCGTCGCCTCGTCGACCTCGTCCGACTCGTCGAGCTCGGCCAGCAGCAGCCGCAGCAGCTCCGAGAGCCGGTGTCGCAGTCCCGACGACCCGCTGCGCTACAACCCGGCCGACTTCGAGCCTAGGTACGGCGGTGACGGGAACAGAGGGATGGCGGAGAAAGCTAGGAGTGGCTATGGGATGTTTGGTTGTGTTCGGAAGGTAGCGAAGGAGGATGGTTTGTTAAAAGACTACAGTCAAATGTGAAGTGCATGGAGCAATGTATGTTTGATATAATAGGCCTTAGAGCACCATCCTACTCCTAGTCAACCCAGTTTTGTGTATTTTGCTGTTACATGACAAGTGATTAAGCTGTTGCCCGTTTGAGAGATGATCGTGACTGACTTGGGGCCCGTAAGATTTGTTGATGCCCCCTCTGACTCACCGTTTGTTCCGCGATGTTCACCCCGTCTGACTCCCGGTTCTCCCTCTCGCAGGCCGGAGCGGCGGCGTCGTCCGTCAACACGCAGTCGCAGCCGCTCGCCGCTGCGCCGCTCACAGAGTCGGTCTCGCGGCTGGCGGCCGGAGAGCGGCGGCGGCGACTGGCGCTCCCAGCGGCGCTACGAGCGGGAACAGCGCGAGCGCGAGCGGCGCCGGAGGGAAGAGGAGCGCAGGGAGGAGCGGCGCAGACAGGAGGAGATCGCCAACCAACAGGACGCCATCGGCAGACGGGTGGTCTACATCAACGGTCTGTCGCCCGGTGTGACGAGAGAGGAGCTGCGCAGGATGTTTGGCGGCTACGGCCCCATCACCAAGATCAGAATCAAGGAGCGCGATCCCGCCACCGATCTGTACCGTGAGCAGCGCGACGGCTGTTATGCGTTTGTCTCGTACGAGACGCACAAGGCGGCGGTGACGGCGCAGGCGCAGGGCAGCCAGCGCTACCCCCATCTGGAGGTGAAGTTCGGAGGGCGCCGAGAGTTCTGTCTGGACCAGTACGCCGACCAAGGTCAGTCATTGGTAGCGCCCACAGCAGGTATAGTCCAGCATTGTTCGCTCGTTATGAGAGCTATCAGTTTTCAGTCCGTTGACAGCTGACTTTTAACTTCCAGCTGTTGGCGGCCGCGTCAAAAGCTCTCCATTTTTATGTAGAAAATTGAATATTAGCTATTTTTTATTGGATACGCCTCGCATCATAGTTCCTTTTGATTATTCCTGTTTTGGCATTCTCGAATGCGCTCATTGGCTCTGAACATCGGAACCTAACCTGACGCTGACTTTCTCCACAGACGCCGACCTGAACAACCCCGCCTACTACGGCATAAAGGGCGGTGGGTCGCAGCGCGGCGGCGGTCTCGACTTCGACACCCTCCTTCGCATGGAGATGCAACGGGTCAAGAAGACGGCGCAGTCGGGCAAGATGGCCTGACAGCCAGCGCGCCGCGCCGCGCGTTCAGTGTTAGCTAGCTCAGTGTGTAGTGCCATGTGTGTGAGGGACTGAGAGAGCGGGAGACGGGACAGACTGCAGGGACGTCCTCTCTGTGATAGCACGGTGCCGCGCGGCGCTGGTCGGCCGGACCGTGCGCGCGCGCGGCCGCATTTTGTACTGTATTTGTGGGCGCGGGTTGAGACAGCAGCGTTGGATGGAGCGGTGGTGTGCTGTGTGTGGGAGAGGGTTGTTGGGCGCGGCGGCGCGGGGGCGGCTCGTCCCACCCCCAGCCGTCCGCCAGTGTGTGTCTGTTTGAGGGTAGCGAGCTCAGGGCATCTCCATTGTCTGTGTCGGCGGGCGGCCTCGGCTGTAAGCCCGCCGACCTCGGTCGGTCGGTACTCCAGCGGACCTGTGACACGAGACAGGGCGGCAATACACGACTGGGACTGGCACCCGGCTCTGACAGGGGACCGAGGGGAGATGTCCGTGGGGACCGGGCAGCCGAATGCCGGACGATTTCTGACACAATGGGCGCGATAGTTGGACGGGAGTGTTCAAGCGGACGGAGGGAGATAGGGTAAAGCTGGAGGGCATTGGCTCGAGCAAGATACTCGATGAAAAGCATCGCAGGGCGTCCAGAGGGCCAGCAAAATGATGTGAAAATAGACTTCCAAAAAAGGAACGGAATCTAAAAGCCGAGGTTGCTAGACCTAGAGGTTGAATGGAGTTGATATTCTAAAGCAACTAGGATGTCGTTCGACCACACGAACGAGCGGTTAAGCCGTACTGACTAGCGAAGTCATCTACGCTGCAAGTTGACCCCGACGTCAGTGTATAATTTCAGTGGCCGCACAGCCCAGGGAAGAAAAATATTAGTTAAAGGGAAATGAGTCAAGAAACGGCTCGACGGTTATGTGGACTTTTAGCGAGGCGTGGTGGCCATTAATTTGCCGCCGCGATGCGTCCTACAGTCAGAATCAAGGGCTAGTGTAAAGATGAATCGCTATAACCTGAAGTGCCCAGACAAGTGTTCGTGGCCAGTCAAACGAGAAATGTCGAAAGATTTACGGTACATTTTCCAAAACCCTGCCTCACCAGCACTTTTCCCCTTCGGACCTGACAACTGGCCCTCTAAGTTCACAAACATCAGGTAACACCTCCACAAGTTCAACTGTATTATCATCATATGCAGAAGCGGACAGCAACGCAGGGACAGTGTGGCGAGATCGGCCGTTCGCTCAGCCTCAGTCGCGGCGCAGGGGGAACAACTCCTCGGTGATGCCGTCCTTGGTGATGACCTGGATGGCCACGGCGTCACCTGTGTAGATGTCGCGCTCGCAAGCCGAGGTGAACACGTCCTTGATGATGCTGACCGTCTTCTTCACGGTCAGCGGCTCGGGCGTCACGTTCTCCTGGTTCTTGTAGTTGATCTGGTTGTCGAGCAGCGGCTGGATCAGCGCTCCTGGAAGACACAGCGGGGAGGGCGGGTGGTTACTGGTTAGCATACCAATGCATAATGCATACCAAAACATAGTATACCTTTGCAACACTTCATGGTATCAGTATTATGGTTGAACATAAAAAAACACGAATGTCGCGGCACTACCTGTGGAGTACGATGCATGCAGAATGAATTAATTGATTGAATCTTTAAACATAATATTAAAAAGTCATCCAGCTAGCGTAAACTAACGCTCGTTTGCTAATCCACCTACTCACTGCTCAACTTTCGGCCACAGGTGATTGATCTGAGTTGTCATCCACCTCACGTCCCTCATTACTCACCTCCAGATCCTCCGGTATAGCATTTGCCAGGGTCGTGGTGGCCGACAGGGTCATAGTGGTACACAATGCCCTTTCCGTTCTCATCCAGACCCGCCAACACATTGGACACGTAGTACGGGAAGAAGCGCTTGTGGTAGAGCATGGTAGACAGCAGCTGCGCCACGGCGCCCGTCGACATGGCCTTGTTGTGCTCGTGGCGGTACATCTGCATGCGCGCGCGCAGCACCTTGGTCATGGTTAGCACGTCACACCAGCAGCCGGTGCTGCCCAGGATGGTACGTTCTGACAGCTGGAACGTCTTCTTCTGGTCGCGCGTGTAGATGCTGTAGCCGGAGCTGAGCCGCGTGTCGGAGGCGACCACCACGAAGTCGTCGCCGGCGATGGCCACCACGGTGCCGCCGTTGTCGGCGTACGGGTAGAAGTAGCGCTGCCGCGGCCCGCCGGCGGCCGTCTCCCGGGCGCCCGGCTGCATCGTCTGTACTGACATCTGGCGGTAGGGAGGGAAAACATGTAATATCCTGGGGCTGCATCGTCTGTACGGACATCTGGCGGTAGGGAGGGAGAACATGTAATATCCTGGGGCTGCATCGTCTGTACCGACATCTGGTGGGGTAGAGAAGCATTTCAGCTTAGTCCGCCTACACCGTCTGCACTCTGCAGTCTGCCCTGGCATCTGCACGTGGAGGAAGGGAAACATATCACATCCTGGCTGCAACATTTAAAAGACATTCTGGAGGTGGGAGAACATTTCATGGCAAAAATATGACAGGAGTGGCAGAATCCATTGACATTCTTCAAGATGGATGAGATAGCAGCCAAGATGTGCACAGACTTCTAAGAAAGTATAAAACTAAGGGCCTAAAAAACCTTGCTAATCCAAATTCAAACAGAAGGTCATGGGCCATTAAAGGAAATAGTTCACTTTTAAATTGGGTTTTGAACTGGAATATCAGTTTCATAGCTTGAGCTGAGGCTAGCACAAAGCAGGATCTTTTACGGCCCTACGATCACCATGGACAAAGATATTCCATTTCTCATTCCGTAAAGGGTGCCAGTAGTCAAGTTTAGGTACTAACTACAATTGTGGCGCTGTTGATACGAATATGTAACAGCTAAAATTTAAGGTTTTAGGTTAGGTTAGGTTAGGTTTGTAGGTTTGTAGGTTTTAGGTTGTAGGTAGGTAGGTTTTAGGTTGTAAGGTTGTACAGGGTGTCTCAAAAGTTCGCTTACAGGTACCAGCCATGCTTTTTTGGCAATAATTCTGAATCAACATGAAATTAACAGTCGAAATTTTGCATGGGCATTGGTAACAACCTTCCTCAAGCAGCTTCATTGTTTTCAAGCGCATTCGACCCTTCATGAGCTCACAAAAAGGGTTCACCTCTGACCATGGATCAGGCATGAAAATGGAGGTCGCATACTCGGGTCGGCTGAGAAACTCTCTGCTTCACGAGTAATGGGAATAGTTAGGTCGGAAATGACACATGGCAAAGTGTCGGCGAGGATGAGTACAACATGATGGTCATCTAATAAAAACGGTGGCTAAAATTTTTGAAGGACAAAACCATGCGAGACTAACAGCGCTTTGAACGACCTTTGTACCGCAGCAGACTCGTGCTCCGGAAAGCAGCTGAAAATGCAGTCCTAACTATTGAAAACTGACTAGAAGCTCACAGACAGAGGTTACCCAGTTTCAAAAATTGCAGGTCATCATAAAATAAAGACAAAATATCATTTAAAATTGTTTATAATATCTATAACGCTAAATTTTGAGGGAAAATAATGCGAAAATCGTCAATGCCGAGGACAAGTGACCCTCCAAAAGTGTCAATTAATGTAAAGTTTTATCTAACGAAGTTTCAAGAGGCAGATCTGGAGCAAATAGCTTTCTTTTACACACAAAATCCGGACAAAACCGCACGATGGACAGGTTTTGGCCGTTTACAAAGCAGAACCTCTCCTGAGGAAAACACTCCGGAACCCAGCGAAGGTCTTGGCATTGGGAATGACGAGCGTTCGGGATTTGCAAATTTTGCAAAATGTGTCTAAGAAACAGATGGCCGACACATTCTGCTACGATATGCTGCGAAAAATTTGCCCCTGGCACTTCCCATTTGTTCAGGAATGGGGTTGTTTTGAAAAGGAAAATGGTGCTTGTGAGGTCGGCGCCAGTCATTCATGATTGAGTTAGCGCCAGAGAAGACCTACAAAATACTCACGGATGGTGTCGATGCAAGCTATCGGCTTTCAGGGAGAAGCGGATGTTGCCGGGGAGCTCGTCAAACCTAAATCCGACGCAGAAACTGCGGGGGATTCCCCTACAAGAGCTTGAAAGCTGGTAACCTTTTATCAGCCTCCGGCAGCTGACGGAGTGACGAAAATCGGTATGGGCAAATATTTTTGGAGATACAGCAAAGGGTTTGGTTTCCAACCTTCCGAATCAGTTGTCAAAGCATGCATATTTGTCTAGTGTACATACGGACACCAAAACCTTAGATTTTTGACCGGTTTTTTATGCTTTATTGACATGGGAAATGTGTAAACGAACTTTTGAGACACCCTGTAGGCCCGACAGGCGACGGCTTCGGCGTAAATCGCGAAAAAACCGTCAGGGGGTGGCACCCCCCCCCCTCGGCCGGCGAGGGTTAAATGTCTTCGGGAGTTAAACATTTTAGTTAAATATCACTTATCTTGTCTCGTGTTCGTCTCAGGGTATTTAGGTCGACATGTTCAGTGAACCTGATTGTGACTCTCCCACGGCGGGAACAGTTCACCGATCGAGAGTGAGGTTATGGATTGTCGGATTCCCTAGTTCAGATAACGTATGCTATCGTGTGCGTATTACTATTGACCGTTGTGATTCCTGTATTTCCGGCGTGTGGTTTGTGAGCGGACTCTGGCAATCGGTCCCGCGTGGCCTGGTATCTGCCCGATCCCATCGGCCGTGCTTGCACCACGCCTGTTGGTCAGGCGTCAGTCACCGGCTGGGCACTACTGCTGATCAGAGCCGGGCAACAAAATAAAGGTTACCTTATGGAACATGCCAGTGAGTTTGTGAGTCAGGAGATTTTGTGATAGCGAACGCTGGTGCTCGGTCCCGAACTCCCGCATGGCCTGCTGATGTCTATTGTCTGCCCGATCCCGTCGACCGTGCCAACAACCGTCTGTAGACAGTAGTCACTGGAAGACAGCCACACACACACACCAGCTCCCCCCCTCGCCGAGAAGTGCGTGGCTACAAGTACAGCCTGCAACCATCAGTAAGCCTTGAAAATTTTTGGCGCATGAAGCATGGCTTGGTAAAATAATTTCGGCGCATAAACCCTTGCGCCGAAATTTCGGCACATCACCTCCACCAAGAACTTCAGCGTAGTGGAGGCATTTTTTCCAGTCGGGGTTGTAGGTTTGTAGGTTGTAGATTGGTAGGTTATAGGTAAGTAGGTAAGATTAGGTCAGGTTTGATTATGTTTTTTCTTTTATTTCCAGGACATATAAGTATCATTTTTGGATTCAGGATGTCAAATAATGTAAGAATATAAAAACTTTATCTTTTAACAGTCACTCGGACTCATTGTACACTTAAACCACTATTTTTTTTTCAAGAACTGTAATCCCCAAACCAAAAACCCTTAGCTTTTGATGCCTTAGAGCTGCTGTCTAATTAAAGTTTATTTTTCCCCGACAAAAAGCGTACAATTTTCGTTCTTATCTAGAAAATGGTAGATAAATAAATTTCAACGATTTCATCTTTCGGGCTCTTGACCAGAACGCCCCTTCCACTGGATCCGGCAGCGATCTACGCGATAAGTTACAATTTAATTAACACAGTCCGCCCAACCACAAAATATAATAAAATTCAGTGTTATACATACCATAAGCGATTTTAAACAGTCCTCTCAGCAGCCCTATTCTCAGCCGCCACAGCACCACAATGCGCTATATTTGTCTCCCCGTTCATATATGTCGCTTAGTGACCCGGCAATTCTAAGCAACATGTTCAATAAGTATCTCCAGCGAAAAGTTCACCTATCATGAAGCGTGGAAAGAGGAAATTTTGTTCAAAAGGAATCACAAGCACTATTCGCTTAATAAAATGAACAAAAATATTTTGGATATTTCCAGCTGCAATAGCAGGAAAAACAGAAGGATTTGATGAGTCACTGAATCATTATTCTTGATTTTATTGTTTGATTTATTTTACATATCAAATATGCATTTAATATTTCAGTAGTTTAAAAGAAATATAATAGATATTAAACACTGCTTTTATGGGTTGATCGGAAATGTTTAATATGACGTCATCAATTTCTAATTCAGCTTTTAGGAAATTGGATAATCACATGACATATTTCCCCATCCTTGTTACTCACCACGTTTCAAGCTATATATGGCTCTCTCTATCGTCTGGAGGTTTCGAAAGATGCTCTCCAGAGATGGCGCTAGTAAATTTGGCTGACATGACGTCATGCTAAAAAGTGATGGATTTTGTGAGAGCAAATGTAATAAAAGTTGAAAATTTTGTACTTTTGCTTAATTAAGAAAAAATAAATATACAATTGTTCAAAACAGCGTTTTCCTCATTCATCCTTCATTGTTTTAAGAGGAATATAGACAGTTTAAATATTTTTTCTTGACCGCAATTCGCACACGCACTAAATTAAAAGCTGGAGTTTTGTGCGTTCGTAAATTGTGATTTGAGAAAATAAGTTGACAATTATCTTTTGCACTTTTGCTTTACAATCATTTTTCAATGCAGATGAATGCATAAATTATTCAAAAATAGGCATATCTTTGAAATATTATGATTTTCCACAAGCAAATTTTCCCAAAAACTTGAACTACTTACAACTGACGAACGCATCCAATAATCTGGATGTCTTAGGATGAGTTCGTCATTTTTTCCCAAGGAAATACGATACAGTTCAAGCTATTTTACCGATTTATTAGGGTACTTTTGCCAATGAATTAATAAATAAATGACAACAATTAATCTCATTATCAACCATACTCGGAAGCATTTTTTTCGCATAAGCGCGAACACATCCGCGCTTTCATGAAAAGTCACGCCTGTAGATGTCAGGACTGCTGCTTTATGTTTCGCAAGGTGGCGCAGCGCGCAGGGTACCGACTACCGAGGCTGAGGTCTCCAGACTCTCCACCACGATTTAACTTGGAAATGGCCGATGGGGAAGGTCTCACCCAAAAACGGACGCCCTTTTACACAGCTGCATAAAGAGAATGAATTATTGGCATAGCTGACCACACGTCCCCTCCCCCTCTCCGCCCCAGCTCAATAGGAAATATCGCCTATTTTCCTTAGTCAGTTATATTCTGACTAATTTCTCACTCTTCCCAGTAAACCTTAACATGCATGATGCAGATGTCCACTGCGTAAGTCGTGTGCTTCCGTATGTGTGCCAACTATATAGTGTTGCCTACACTCTACAGTACAGCCTACTGCTTCCCCATTGTCGTTATAATTGGTGATTCTCAGGTCAAAAGTTACACAGTGGTCTCAGAGAACAATCGTTTCAACAAATTAACGATTCAAACCATTGCATTCTACTTATATTCCGGTCAGTTCTGCTACTAAACGATTCCGGCAAAACACTCTTTAGGTTATGTATTAGCGAACCACCACACAAAATTCGCCCAATCAATGGTCAGTTATTACTGCTGGGCTGAACCGTCATACGCTATATAGCCTATTGCAGTCAATATTTTCAGAACGATACTGACTGACGAAACACAACGTATTCGCGGATTCGCACATACGTTGGCACCCAGGTGGCCTGTCAGCAGCCGCACAAATCCGCACAGCGCAGCCGGGATTTGACATTGAGATGGTACACCGTAAAGCATGCCTTTCCACACAGGCACAAGCACAGGGACACAAATTCTCAAAATCCAAACTTATTCCAATACTGGTCAATTGCGAATAGGCATAAAGTTTTGAGGTTTTCTCATGTTCATTCTTCTTTCACTAACACACGCGGCAGACTGCAGCAGCTGCAGAACATCTCACAGAGCTGCGCTGGATGCAGTCATGAGCTGGGACACGGTTTGTGACCAATGACCGATCGGGGGTGCCAGCCTCCTCCCGGCACGCGATGCACTGGCCGCCGCGCAGTCGATGTCGGGGCACCGCCGGCATTCGCCGACAGGGTTCCATCCGATTCGGTGTATTGGTGGCAGCCCGAACAGTGACCCACGCGAAGCTGGCGGACGTCGATGGCCGATGAGCGATGCCCTTCCGCGACCGGCGGTGGCAGTCGGTCCCACATCAAGAACAGATACCAGTCATGCGGTCAGTCGGCGACGGCGCTGTCGCGAGCCGATCTGATGGTCGCGCGGTGGGCGTCGCCGACGTCCACCGGGACCGTCGACTGGGGGAGCGCGGCCGCCTCTTGGCCGCCGCCTCTGGTCGGCGAGCTCGTTGCGCTGTGGGACGGCATCCACTGCAAGTCGTTCACTGTGAAGCGGTCGTTTGACCGGACCTGGCAGGCGGGGAAAGGGGGCCTCAGATGAAGTAAAACCATCCCTCAGGCCAGCTTGAACTGGCTCTCCACCTCACCATGTTAGATAAGCGGACACCCTCGTGATCATCGCAGCGATGATTGCCAATTGGTGTGTCATTATGGGAGAGGATGCCAGCCTCCTTTGCAAGATAGTCTGCCTTTAATATAGTGCAGCCCGACCCATTGCCTGTGGCGCAGACTGGGCTTGATAATGCAGTGCAGGACACACCAAACGTAAGCGGCCATCTGTACCCCCTGTGCAGTAGGGCTGACTCAAGAGCCCAGAGTTGCCCTCCCCCCACCATTCTGTGCACGTGATAACTGGATGGGACATGCCATGGTCAGCATCTGTTCAAAAGCTGCCCTAAGCATGTAAAGCTCCACTGGCATGCTCAAGCATGGTCACAGTCAGTTCTCACTTCTCAGTTGAACCTCCAATGGAAACCTATCACAAAGTAGAGATCAGGGCGCCTCTCACACTGCAGCACACTCAACGACTGAGGCACCATCTCATTCTCATCACTTGCAGGTGGTTCTTGCCAGGAGCAATGCCAGCCACGCACATCAGGTGATAACAGCAGTGTACAACTGCAATCTACAAGCATCCATGTTCTTTCTGGTTTTCTCCTGTTGAGATCCACTGCCATGCATGAACTTGATGGGCTTTTGTTGAGCTCCTCCCATGTGCAGACAGGTTTCTGCTGAAACAAAGCAAAGCAAATGTGATTAATAATGGCCCTGTTTCACCATCCAGACACTGTGTGCACTGGTAGCTACGGCATACCATAGCATCACTCAAATGACGTTGCATGTGATCTCTTAGTTTATGATCAATCGCGTTTGGAACAGAGTGAGAGGTTCTGAAAAACCGTACCAAGAACAGAGGTTTGAGTTCAAATACTGCTAGCATGCTGCTGGTGCTGGTACCGCAGCGTGCTAGCGTTCTGGGATGCTGTCATAGCTTAGCGTCACAGTGAAGTTTGTTGACACTGCCATGGAAACCCAATGCTCTGACACACGCAGCGCACTGCAGTGCTGAGCACTGCAGTGCGTGCTCTGCCGTGAAACACCACCCATGAACGTTGGTTGCATGACCAGGATGGAGCAGTGTGGCAGACAGTGATTTTAATTTTAATTGCACTTCCTAGAGATTAAAATGTTGTTGGTGAAATTGCTATTCATTATTCCTATAACCATTGTCTAAATTTCACATTTCAAGACAGCATCAGCATTGACATGTTATATAAAATAAGGTTTAGACTTCAGGTGGTCCCGGGTTCAGCTTAAGTAAAACAAGGGCAAAAAATTGTCAAAAAAAATATTTAAAAAAAATACCTGCCTTCATCAACACCTCATCTAATCTAACCTCATCCTCATCTAACAAGGCCCTAAAAGCAAAAACCGTTTGAATAACAATGTAATATTTTGCAACCGCTGCACCATTACTGTCACGTACGCTATCCCTAGATTGGTTGCTGGTAAGTAGTGGTTGTCGTCATCAACTCGTCATGCAGCAGCTGATTGGGATGGGCGGGGCCTATTTTTATCCAGGCGATAGAGAGAGCCCTATATATGGCCTTGGTTTCAAGTATTTTGTATAGAGTCACGTGTATGGGGGTTTATTTTGACGATTGTGCGTGTTTGGACACGTTTATTCAATTTTAAGCGTTATTATATTCCTTTGCTACCGTTGCGCTGCTTCTTATCAGGTATAAGCTGAAGTAGGTTTTTCGACAGGTCTGCATTGTTTGCATTTGCTGTGCAAAAATGGCTAAAAAGAGCGGAAAAACTTTGTCCAGTAATCTCTTGGAGATGAAGGTGAGTTTCTGTATATATCAGAATTATCATGTCATCATCAGAGCGGTGTCTCACTGGATGCTGCTACCACGCTGCTTTTCCATCTCACGAGCAGGGCCCTGTTTCACCAGTGATAGCAGCATGCTTCTATCAAATTGCGCGAGCTGACGTAATGTAATGAGGTCACACTAATGACATTTCGTGTAATCCGTGAGCTGCGTTTGGAACAGAGTTGCTGTCTCGTTGAATTGCGTTTGATACATTTGTTTGATTGCACTGCCGTGAAGATGTTAGCAGCAATATTTGATGACATCATACAGATTGACGGTGTCATGGCCTGTTCATGTTATGGATACCCAATTTGACACGTGTAATAGCAGCATGCTGCTATCACCGGCGAAACAGGGCCCTGATGTCACACCTCAACCCTGCCGTCCAGTGGCAAAAACCATTATGTTAGGTCACAGGTCAATGTAACATAATGGGTTTTGCCTTTGGACGGCAGAACCTGTGGTAGTGTTGGAGTAATGGTCTTGTTGACATCTCCATGGAAACCCAATTTGACACTGTGATAGTAGCGTGCTGGTATCACCGGTGAAACACGACCTAGGTTATTGATACAAATACTAATTAAGCTCATATTTTTATTTTAATACTGGTGACATTGACATGTATCTTTGTCCTTTTTGCCACTTTAAAATGTTAACATGGATTTTGCTGAAGATGTCTCTGCCTGGTGCCCAATGCCCATGCCCAGCCTCACCAGTACGGGCAGTACCTACTCAACACATACTTAGTGGTCTGCCGCAAACCCATAAGCAAAACCATGTCATACATAACAGAAACTAGTAATGGTCTGATGCAAAACCATAAGCAAAACTGAAAACATGTCATAACAGAAACTAGGATTGGGATACTGATAATGCTGTAGGTTCCTGGATTGTAAAGCCACTATGCAATAAAGCATGACAAAGCTCCTTGAGGTCTAGTTTTAAATGCTATGACATTTCAAAACTGAGGATTCGTCATTTGCATGTCTGTCACTGTAAAGCATGGCACATCAATGCAAGATGGACAAGATATAAAAGATGGACCCACCCAAGCCCAAAAGTCAATGTGCCTATTCAGCTAGAAATGTGCACCTCCTGAGTAGAAATTGGAAACTGTACAAGATAAAGCACATTCTCCCTTCTCATACTGGTCTTAACAACAGATATGTTTTTCTTCAGTTTATGAAAAGAAGCAAAGAGAATAGAGAGAAAGAGGAGGAACAAGAGGAGTACAGAGAAGTGTTTCATTCAAATATTCCAGATGATCAAGGGTAAGGAAGGTGCATGCATGAGCTTAAGATCATTGGAGCCTTATTTGAGTTCAGTCAAATAAAGATTTTTCTTCACTCAACAAAGATTTTATGTTTAATACACTAATCACTTTACTAACCAGAATAATATATCATCTGACAACATCTTATTCCATGTTTTTGAAGACAGTGTCTGTTACTTTGCATGTTATCAAATACTGGCAAGCATGCCTTAGTCAGAAGTGTCGTTCAACAAGCGGATCATGCTGGCCAGTCCTTTACATTCTCTCCCACCTTCTCAAGGCTATGACAGTTGATACCTACTTGATTTGTGACTCCACCCCCAGACGGCGAGTCACCTACCAGCCGGACATCGCGCAGCTGGATAACCTGGTGTACCCGCGCCGCTCCTACGGCGGACAGAACCCGGCCATCGAGAAACTGATGGCCGAGAAGGACGGTCAGACGGGCGGCGTGGCCGATGAGTCCATGGAGGCGGATGTGACCGACGCTCAGATGGCTGACCACTACTCCTCGGTGGTAGGCACCATTGGGAAGAAGTTCCGCACCAAGCGGCAGCGGTCGCCGTCCCAGGAGCAGGCCGGCGAGCGGACCCCCAGCCGGCCCCCCGTGCTCAAGAAGGTCAAGCAGTTCCTGCGTCCTTCGGACGAGTGAGACGGGAGGGATTAGGTCCAAAGGCTGTGAGACTAGCGCTCAACGGTCCGGCTAGCCTTGGGGTCGAACGAACGCCGGATTAGTGTTGAGGGCCGCTGGCCAGTGCCGGATGGGAAACGGTGGGAAAGTGTGGAAAGACTTGTTTGTGTTGCAGTTGTTGTGCGAGATCCAGAAACTGTTTGGGATGTCCTAGACAATTTTTATACATTATACGGGACATCTTAGGACTTAGATCAACCGAATGCATCATTCGTAGCAAGTGTTTGTGACTGTCTGTGGGTGCTGGTGATCTGAGTTGAGGGCTTTGCCATTAGATGGCAGCACTGCCACGCCGTCTTGCCGTATAGTTGCGTGCCTGATGACTGGAAGTCCGTTTTATCACAAAAATGTTACCATTTTCGATTAGGCTCGACATCGAAATACCGTTGAATGCATATTTTTCATTCATTGTCATTTCCTTATTTATTTGTATTTAAAATGACATTATTTGTCCCGTATCACCCTAACTTATCGCAGAACCAATTAATACTAATATACTAAGATCGCCAGTCACCGGCTTGTGTATGCTCATGCGATGAGGTATCGAAGTGTTGTGCCGGATAATGCCAATGGTAATTGCGTTAAGGTGACATCCGATTATAATTTGCAATCTAAAACATTAAACGTAGAAACAGATATAGGCTATGACTGCAACAAGATTGAAACCGAGTTTCCGATAGACGTTACGGCCAAGACGGCTATAACGCTTGTATTTATTAGGTTTGAAGGCATGACGATGCTGCTGTTGCCATTGTTGCTAGCGGCGAGGATCCGGTCGTCTGACAATTGACCGTGGTAACAAGATTAGATGCTGACTCGGTTCCAGCGCCGTGGTGGGTCTAATTAGGCACATAGAGGCGGAGAGGCGTTTTTAGCTCTCACCTTCCCCAAACTACAGGTCTTCACACGTCGTACGACTTGAGCTAAGGGGGCGTAAAAAAACCTCCTCCCTGTTCTCCTCTATTTTCTGGTGCGGCTATACCACTGCACAGCGTGGGCTAATCAGATAAGTCAGGTTTTAGTGATCACCCCACTATTACGTCGGTCATCTTCCATCAGTCATTCAATGATTTGTATGAAGACTTAAAAACGCAAACAGGATGCAGTGCCGACACCCAATGCTTTAGAGTTACACCACGAAGGGACTAGGGGATGGCCATGCATGGTCGTTTGTAGGTGGGACACTCACAGTCAGTCTGTTTAAATTGGTGAGCGGGCATTCCGCTCCCAACCCGAAATGTAGGTATCTGGTATCTATTGATCGCTATGGCTCCCGGCGAGCGCTGGTCCCAGTTGACGACTGCGTAGCTTGATATTTGGCCGTAATTATCGGTTTTACGTTTTTTTTTCTTAGAACTTAATAATTTTCGAGGTTATTTACGATGATAAAGCCCGGGTGAAAATGGTGACCGTGACGTGCCTTCCAACCGCTTCCGGTTCCCAAATCGCTCTCATCTGGACACCCGACCGCGCGGTCAGCGGCGGGCGGCGCGGCGTGGGAGCCGTCCTCGGGTGACCGCCGCCCCTCCCCGCTCGGCGTCCCCTATCCTGTGACACCAGCTGTCGTCCTGTTCCCTAATCGAACTCCCCGGCCGGCCCCGCGCGAGCCATCAACGGGGGACAAGCCACTATCCCCCGCTGCCCCCTCTGGAAACTGCAACGCTGGCCAAAAATCGATGTCTCCCGCGAGGGCGGCTCCGGCGCGGCGCGCGAGGGGTGGGGGAGGGCGGGGCGGGCCGCGCGCCGCACGTGTACGGACGCCGGACGGGCGGCCACATCTGGTGTGGCTCGATAGTCGGCAGGGGCGGCGTCAGGAGTCATTCCGAGGGGGAGGGTTCTCTAGTGACGGCTGATGGGGATGTGTGACTTCAGTTGCACTCGAGATGTAACAAGCGTGAGTGAAGTATTGTCCCTATCACCCCACCCTCCCTGGGACTGACACTGTACGCGCCTCTGCGAACATTATTGCGGCCAATTGTGCCCCACTTGGTTCGATCGTGTGCGAGGCACGTACCGTCCAGCCCGCCCCGGAGGGAGGGTGGAGGGGCTAACGGCCGGGAGGGCCACGGACCTGAGCTGGCAGCCTCAACCGCGGCACGACTGCATTGTGGCTCCCATGACCCCGCCCTTTGTAGTCCCGGTGCTCCTGCTGACGAGACTTTCCAGCTGCTATGCTGTGGCAGTGTCACTATGAAGTGCGATTTGAAAGAAGACAACAAATATGAAATAGTACGGGATCTGCAGGATCGTTAATCGGCGGCACTTTGGGATCACTCAAGACAGAGACAGCATGAACGGAATGGAACCGGTGTTCATAGGTACTCCATTTGGTGGTAGCTGATAGATCACCGCCCACTGGCGGATCCAGGCTTGCGTTTTGGGGGGGGGGGCCAAGTCACCGCCCCAGCCCCCATCCCACGTGACGGTCGAAGGGTTTCCTTGTCCGACCGACTAGCTAGGGGCACTAACCAGTGTTATTATGGTTTTCCGTTTACAACTACGGGCTAGATCTGTGTGTCTGGCTAAATGAGAGACTAAATCGCTGTCTGAATGAGGAACTACTTGTCTTTTATGCGACTGAGCATGGGTCTATAGGCAGGTTTGTCTGGGGTCCGACCGGCTGAACATTTTTCCCTCAACATTCACGCATCTTTCATCGAGTGCCCATTGCATATTAAATTAAAAATAAGTATCTTAGCATACTGAAAGAAAACTGAGGTCTCGTAGTAACGAATAAATTATTGAGTACGATACAAAATTACAAGAGAACAGTTTCGTGCGAAACCTATATCATCAGATATGTATGTGATGATGGGCTTAGACGCTCACCATCGGATCGTAGCATATTATCATGCTCAGGCGCCCGAAATATTTATCTCTTTTAGCTTTGTACCTGTCAAACCCGCGCCCCGCTGGGGGTGCAGGGGCTATTCATAGCCCCTACCGTATTTCTGCAATAACTTCTAAACCGCTTGACGTAGCGACGCCAACCTTTCAGTACCTTCGGCTGCATCAATTTGACTTGTGTCAAAATATGAACTTCGTAGCTACCATAGGTCGGCCTGAAATGATGTCAGAGTGACGTCATGCTCGGCCGATTTCGACGCAAAACATTGAACCACGGCAATCGCTCCCAAGAGCTCAGTTTTCAAGCTAGATCCAATTTCTTTGCTGCATGGAGAGGATTCAGAATAGACTGCAATATCAAACTGCTATCTCGGATTTTCAAAAGCTTGAAAATTTTTGAAAATTATACATGTTACCGCCGTAGGCCAACAATAACAAAAAGAACATCTGAAATGAAAACGCAATATATTTGGATACTGGTTTTAATAGTAACAGAAGTCGCCTAGACGGGTAACATGAACTAAAACAAAGTCAAATCAATTCAAAAAACGACCATATCTATCGAACAAGTAAAAGCAAATAAAAACATGAAACAAATTTTGAATTATCTGAACTCTCATTCACGTGACCATTTCTCGGTGATATTTCCAGAGTTGAAAACGTTTTGAAAACCGTTCAATGACATATTCAGTTTATGTTCGATCCTTCGTACGAATTCGGTATTTCAATTCGATGAGAAGCTCGATCGTTTCCGTTCGTTTTCTTCGTTTTTCGTTCGGAATTTCCAAAGCTCAGCTTCTCCAACGTTGTAAGTTGTAATGCTGTGCTAGCAGCGCTAACACTTCCGCCTTTAAAACTACTCATAGGTTTTAACCTTCTCTACCTTCTCTAGATGGAAGCACAACCACTATCTTGCGCACAGGGCGCTGTATCAGCTTACCCCCAGTTAGCACCGTGGCCGAGCGCACGAGACCATCTTCGCTCCTTCGCACCACCTTCACCAGACCAAACGGCCATTGCCCCCGGGGAACGGAGGCATCAACGACAACGACAATATCGCCTACTGCTACATTTGATCGAAGGCGCTGATCTGCAGTTCTTTCTTGTAACAAAGGGATGTATTCTTTTCGCCATCGTATCCAAAACTGGTCTGCCATATATTGCGCTTGTCGCCACAATTTTTTCCCAACTGCGTCATTTTTATCAAATAGGCCAGCTGGAATTGAAGAAGATCTCAGCAGTAAGATATCGTTGGGCGTCAGGGGATCGGGGTCTTTTGGATCCGCAGACACCGCTGTTAAGGGGCGACTGTTGAGTATGTACTCCACTTCACATAGAAACGTTTGCAAGCTTTCGTCAGTCAACTTTTGCAGATGCAGTATAAAATCAAGAATTTTTCTCACGCTTCTAATCATGCGCTCCCAAGCGCCACCAAAAGTTAATGCTTGCGGGGGGTTGAAAATCCACTTAACCTGCTTTTCTAACATTGCCGAATGGATTGCGTCACTGTCAGCCAAAAGGTCCAACTCTCTACTTAGCTCTCGCTTGGCACCTACGAGGTTCGTACCACGATCAGATCTGATGGTTCTTATTTGTCCTCTCCTCGCAAGGAACCTGCGAAATGCACAAATGAAGGAGTCGGTTGAAACTAGGCTGCTGGCAACTTCAATGTGTACAGCACGAGTGCTCAAACAAGAAAAGATGATACCGTATTTTTTCACTTGACTTCGCCCCCGGGCTACGAAAAACGGACCAAAGAGGTCAGTTCCAGTACTTGAAAATGGCGGCTCCAGAGCACAAATGCGGTCAGGAGGTAAGTCGGCCATCTTTTGTGTTTCCGGCTTGCGCTTCATTCTTCTACACCGGACACAGTTTCCGAGGACCCGTCTTACCGCGCTATTTCCTTTTAGAATCCAATACGTCCTTCGTATTTCTGAGAGGACATGCTCTCTACCTCCATGCCCTACATCTTCATGTACCTTTTGTATCAACATGTCGACGACCCTCCCTTTTGCCGGAAGAATAACAGGGTGTTTAGTGGTGTGCTGGGAAGAGGAGTGCCGCAACCTGCCTCCTACGTGGAGGAGGCCGTCGTGGATATAGGGGTCCAGTCGGTAAATGCTGCTTGTTCTACGCAAAAATTCTGAGCTTAAATCAGTCAGTTCTTGCTGGAACGTTGTATGCTGCTCGTGTTTGAGAATGACATGCTCAGCTTCTAAAATGTCCTCTGGCGCAAGGCGACGATTATCACTGGTTTTCTTCCTAAGGTAAGAGCGTATGCGGAGTAACCAGGCGACCGCTCGTGTCAGACGTTTCCACGACGAAAAATAATTTATGCATCTACGTATAGGATGGACGTTGTCTGCAGCATTATTTTGTAACATGCACGCGGCCGTCGTGACCTTTTTCACCTCTGGGTCGTCATCTGGTAAATAACTATCAACGCAGTTCTGTTTTGGTAGATCTCTCGTCTCCCAGAGGAATTGCGGGCCATGCTGCCACTGCATATTCTTAATAAAAATTGACGGGTTCTGACCACGAGAAACATGATCAGCGGGGTTGTCGGCTGACTTCACATGATTCCACTGGTCGGGCGTAGAGCCATCGTGAATTATGGCATGTCGATTGGCCACAAATACGTGAAATCGTGATGACACATTGCAGAT